AATTACTTTAAAATATTATTGGATATGTCAATAACCAATTAGGTATAAATTGAAATTTCTGTCAATTATTAGCATTTTAAAATTCAAATATTGATTAAGACAAAAAAAAAATTGAAATTATGATATTTTAGAAAAATATTTAAGAGGAAAAATTGACTTAAAATATAGAAAAAGAACAAAAAAAAAGGTTAAAAGAATATTATTATGATAGAAATGGATAGGGCCAATGTTTTTTTTTTTTCCTTTTTCTTTCATTTTTCAATCTTTTGGAATTCTTTTGGAATTCAAATGTTGTGGTCAACCAAAGATTCTTTCATTTTTCAATCTTTTGGAATTCAAATGTTGTGGTCAACCAAAGATTCTTATGTCTTTTTATTACGGAGATGCTTAAATTGGTGTTTGGTGTATAGTATCAAAATATACCGTACATGCTTAAATTGGCGTGTAGTATCGCAATACACAGTACAACACTTACTCTCGCCCATAAGTAAGTCAACCAACTTAATTTCAGGTAACTTGTGACACATATGAGTATGCATCCACCTCGTTCTTGTAAAAAGGTTTTAGAAAATGAGATTAGGAAAAGAAAAAAAAAATTGAATAACATATTTTAACATAATTTGAGAAAAGAGTATTAAACTAACAAACATTGATAGCATATAACTATGTTAGCATATAATTCGAGTAAGAAAAATTGACAATTATGTATATCTCCCTATCGTACACTTTGAGGTAAGCTGGCAAACACATATAGCACAGACAACTTATCATAGACAAGCATATACACCAACTTCGGAGAAGTTACATGATAAAAATGAAGTTAAAATCAATTAACAATACACTATGATAGAGAGTAAAAGTGGGCTAACTCGAGAGAAGAAAACAGCGTAGTGAATGAATTGATTTTGATAACATAACTCAATTGTTGGGAATGGATCATAGGGGAATGAGCAATGTAACTATATTCATTCCCAAAGAACAAGTAATTTAAGTGGACTAGTTTCAAGAGGCCACACAAGAAGCAGCACGGAACTACATAAGATTCAGGTCCCACTACAAGTTGCAACCGTATAGAAAACAAAGAAACAACACAAAAAGAACCATAATAAAAGATCACATATCATTTCAGAACTGAAGGAAATGATTTTCCCAACTCCTCCTAGTATATATATATATATATATATATATAGTGCAAGCAAGCAAACCTCCAAACTGGTCGAGAGCAGACTTAGATACATCCATGGTTGGGTTAAAATTTCACAAACCGCTTCAGAAGTCAGGTTATAGGGAGCCGACGCCTATCTATCATGCCTGAAAAAAGGGGTTTGGACAATGAGTAGAAAGTACTTCCGCAATGAATAATTCAAGTGTGTGAGAGGGCTTTAAGCCACCAACTTAAACGAAATTTGATGGAGAAATGATGAGAAAACTAGCACAATTTTGGTTAAATTGTTATCAAACTATCCCTTAATTATAAATTTCAAGTAAATCCAACTACAGATAGATAGCACAGGAAAGGATTTTGTAATTTTTGGATGTAGAAGACAAAATTTAGAATAAAGAATACCTGCTGCTTTTTCTTTTTAGGCCTTCTCTTTCTTCGGGGTTTGTGAGCATCAGAATTGGAACTTATATTACTGCTGTGACCTGTATGAGAGTTGGAGGAACCCCTAGCCTTGAAAGAAGATCCACTTCTGCTACTTGATGTATTGCTGGATGAAGAAACCTCGGCCCTACGATTTGTCGAAAATTTTCTTAATGAAGACCCTGGTTTTGACCGAGCTTGAGCTGAACTTGGAAATGATTTGGTTGGACGGGGAGGTGGCATTAAGGCTCTGGCAGAGATCTGCTGCCTCTACATAAAATGCTAGTCAAATGAGAGAAGGATGGAAACAGATTTTGGGGCATGAGATACAAAGATTACATCCTATTACAAGACAACAGAAATCATAACTAAACCTGATGATTTCTTTCATCGCTAGACATGCCTGATGCTGCCTTGCCAGAAGTGCTGGAAGCATGTTCCCTGCAAAGAATAGAATAAACATTTAATATACCCGACCACTTGCAAAAGCAAAACATGAACAAACCGGAAGAAGAATGAGAATTCAAAGCCTACATACCTTGCACTTTTATCTGTCCATTCATCATCTGCATCTGCTTCATCACTTGAGCTACCAGATACGAAGAAATCATCCTCACTCATGTCAAGTAACCCATCATCCTCACTACCTGTCTCTGTTTGATCAATTCCACACCATTAAAAAGAATATATTATGATCTTACCAAAACAATTTTAAATTAACAAATTCATTGAATAAAAAATAAAAATAAAAAGTACCGTTTCCATGTAGGAAATAATTTTTCATTGAATGAAAGAAATTTATTAAAATGCAAAAATGATGTGTGTGTATATATATATATATGTTGGCCAGTTGCTTCGTAGTGCATAAAAACACCTATAGAGCAACCAGAATCGGCCATATACCAATATTCTAAGAAGAAACCCAACTACTAGGCAAAAAATATATATATAAGAACAAAAATATGAAAAAGAACATTAGAAGAAATGGAAAAGAAACCACCTTCTAAATCCTTTCCACTGGCTGCAGCAGCAATTAGATTGGCTTTTATCTGCTTGCGCAACTTATTCCTCCTATCAACCGTGTCCGAATCATCACTTCCAGTAAATAAAGCTAAATATTTTTCTGTTTTGGGAAAGAACTGCATTCGAACAAAAAAAAAAAACTTTCACATCTCCCATTATAAAGAATAGCGAAAAAACTAAGTATTATACTTGCCATTACAAATGTTGTAACAGCTGTCAGTTCTTCTAGGGGTAAGTGGTGAACAAAAAAAACACAAGCAAAGCTAAATCTACAATGCATACCTCCTCTAACGCAAATATTCAGCATTGTCTAACAACTTTTATTTTCATCAGAAAAATGAAAAATAGTAAATATATGCAAAATGATAGTATCTTAGAACACAATGATAGTGAAAACTAAGACATGACTATGCAACAAGTTTAGATGAACTCCCATGTATTGAAGTCTTAAATAAACGCATACATAAAAACAAGTATACATACAAAATATACAAAAACAAAAAACAAAAAAATCATCAAGAAACAACTTCCTTTGATGAATGAATGTAAATAAAAAGTTCAAAGATACAAACTCAGCACATATATTTTTAGGAAAAGGTTTTTTGACATTACCCTGACATATTCAAGATCCTCCTTCAACTTAGACAATTGATCTGCAATATCCGAATCTTGTGACTGACCAGATGGAGCACGTTGCAGTTTTTCAAGGCGTCTAATTCTTCTTTCAATTTTTCTCCTCTCTGGATTAAGGAAAAAAATAGTCAAAAACTGATGCATGCTTGAAAAACAAACCCATCAAATGACAGAAAAACTATTACCAAGTATTACCAAAAAATTTGATCTTCCTATCCCGCAAGAATATTTTGCGCTCAACGGCCAAACGAGAATGAATTTCTTGCTGTTTTCTAAGTCCTTCCAATTTCTTCTCTTGAACCTCCCTCACTTCAGCAGGCAAATTCTGGAGGGAAAAAAATGTTCAATGACCATGGAGTAAATATCGGCAACAACCACACACTGTAAACTTCGGGGTACAATATTAAATCCGTAATCCGATAAAGACTAAGCAACCTCTCGAAAAACCACACCCACATAGAAAACGTAATGGAAACCTCACTTTAGCTCTCCTAATTTTCACAAAACCTTGCAGCACATTCTTCACCTCCATATTTGAGGTTCGTAATAAGGGCACGCTAACCTAATAAAGCGTTTCAATAGAGTTCCAGGAATCTAGTTCCATACACAAAAAGGATGGCCTCAGAATCAAGTGTTACTTGATCGTAGGGACCTCCGAAGAAAAAGCACAGCAACTCAACTTCCCAAACAAAACTTTCAGCAGCCAAAAACAAAGAGAAGGAGCAACAAATGCAACAAATTAGTCTCTTCTCCAAACTCCCTAAATAGCGAACTAAAACCAGTTAAACAAACTCGAAGCCCTAAAACGACCTAGAACAGCATACAAAGGAGGAAAATAAGGAAAGAGGAGGAGGAAACCTTGCGAAGCATGCGCTCAGCGGATCGAATCTGGTTCTTGAGGGAGACGGACTTGGGCTTCTTCTCAACAGCTAAAGCCTTCGATCGGCGCGCTGCCGGGTTCACCCTGCGCTTGCCGTAGCCACCGTGGGCCATGGTTGCCCTAGACGCAGATGAGAGAGAAGGGAGAGAGTCGTATGCAGGAAAGCAAGGGTTTTGTGAAGGCTCTCAACGCCACCCCGGTGGATTCATAACACCGGAGAGGTGGACAGTGGAGACGGATATCTTTCACTCTTCCTAACTCTTCTTTTCCTTTTTTTTCTTTGGGATTTCTAGACGACCTTCTTAATTTTAATTTATGCAAAAGCCCTAATCAGCGCCTTTTTTTCTCACAAACGTTACTTATTTTTCCCACTTAATTTCCAAAATTTATAAGGGGAAAAAAAAAAATCACTATCTAAAAATCATTATCTAAAAATTCAAACAAATATTTTTTTCATTGAATCTTAAATTTTTAAAACTTCATATAGTTTTTCTCCATTAGGGATCTCGACTCTCGACTCAACAATTAGGGTGGCTAATCTTCCATTTATCTTCTATTGGTTTTATTTTAAGTCGGCTCATAAATACAATTAAAAAAACTATATGATTGAGAACCAATGGCAAGAGATTTATTATACCGAACGTAAGAGAAAATTAATCTAAAAAATGATCGATCATTATAGAAAATTGAGTACAAGAATATTAAACTCTTAATTCATGAAAACACGTTATTGGAAGTATATATTAAAGTCAATAACACGATAAAGATACTTTTAAAAATAAGAACTTTATTCTATGTCACAATTCAACCGAAAGAATATGTTTTTCCAACGAATTATACACTATGATTTGATCTATAAAACAAATAGTCTATATAGTATTTTGACAATTTTGTGTGTGACTTTCTATTCTATACTATAAGAGGGAGAACAAAATCAATGTTGCATTGTATAATATAAGAACTAAACACTACAAATAGAGATGGAAGAGAACATTTTTCTCATTCGCGCTCCGATATAACAATTAACGAATCAGTTAATTCAAGAGAGATCGGTTCAGACTTAGGAATTGGATTGATTACCTGCATTAATCACAAGAATGATGCATCAGTTTCGTATACTACATTTCTCTACAAGATTCAGCTAGTATTATTACCTGTCTATTATTTTTAATATAGCCAATGGCTACTTCTTGCTTTAGATGTGCTCTTTCAGCAAGTTCTGAAAATGAGAGATCCTCCCCTTGTTTCATGTAGCCGCTGATATCCTGTGTCAAGAAAAGGTTCAATTAGTGCAAGAATCGTACTTTCAAGCTAGTCATTTTATTTCAATGTTTCTCGTAACAATCATAACAATCATAACAGCTCAAACCCACTGGTAGCAAATATTGTCCTTTTTGGACTTTCCCTTTCGAGCTTCTTCTCAATGTTTTAAAACGCGTCTGTTAAGGAGAGGTTTCCACACCCTTATAAGGAATGTTTTGTTCCCCTCTCCAACCAATGTGGGATCTCACAATCTACCCCTCTTGGGAGTCCAACATCCTCACTGGCACACAGTTCAGTGACTAGTTTTAATACCATTTGTAATAATCCCAACTCTACCATTAACAAATATTATCCTCTTTGGGTTGGTTTTAAAACGAGTTTGTTAGGGAGAGGTTTTCACACCCTTAAAAGAAATGCTTTGTTCCCCTCTCCAACCGACGTGGGATCTCACATTCATAGATAGATGTCAAAAGCTAATATGGATGAAGAAATAGATATGTACCTTCACATAAATTTCATCACCTTCCGCATTTAAAATATCTTTCCATACTTCATTTAGTTCACTATCCTCTGCCACTGTCACGCCAAAATATTTACACTTGAGATGCAGTTTTGCACACAAAATCTAAAAGAGGTTGGTTCAAAGCATTTACAGACCTTGAGCTGTGACAAGACTCATTATTTCCTCTGCTGCTATGTACGTCAGGGAAGGTTTTATTCTTGTTACCTGCACACATTGCCGCAGCTACATCAATATTTAAATATAATAAAAAAAGCGGCACAAGAAATTGGAAAAGAAGCATTTACTTGTTTCCCCAATTTGGAGTCAACAATCTCTGCAGCAAGATTTTGAACCTGAAATAAAGTGTCATATTATAAACCTTACTTTTGTCCAAAAAATAAGCAAAAAACCACTATGATATAAATATGATCAAACTTTCCATAAATGTATGAATGTCAAAGGATTGATGTAAAAGATTCGTGAAGGTATTGTGCTATAGATCATATTACTAATAAACAACAAATTAAATACCTTGACTCCATGTTTCTGACAGATACTTTCAGCAAGGAGAAGAGTATATACTGAGTGTTTGTCAGCCCTAGATGGATCTGAAATGTTGGAAGTCAATGCAATTCATTATCATTATACAAGCCAAAAAAAAAGGCATATAAGATAGTATTATATCCATACCCCCAAGAAGCCATTCCCTGTCGGATATCACAGCGATGGACAACGGAACATCCTCACTTTTATTGAAAGAACTTCTAATATTTAGTAGGGTTTCCTCTAAGGTAGCATAGTCCATAGGGTTTCCTATCTGCAGCAAAGGTACAAAATTATGGAATGTGGCTTAGAGAAAGTATTAAAATGTTTCAAAAAACTACATTCAATATGTCAGTACCCTGTGAGAAACTCTGACATTTTTGAACTTGTTACAGTCCACAGCTTTGTAAGCTCTTTTTCTTTCATCAAATGGTGCATCTGATAAGATTTCCTGCATATATATGGGAGATGACAATTAGGGTCCAACAATCGCATGTATGCCAATTGTTGCATATAACCAAAATTACAAATGTATAAAACTGTTTATCTCAAAAGTGATTAATTTGTATTGCCAAACGCACTAGATATTTTTTAAACAATGTTTTTGCGCTCCATAATCACTGAAGAAGTTAATTCATACACACCCAGTTTCATTAAAAGTGATTTAGAGGACTCAAGGTGTTGCAAAAAGATTTGAAGTCGAGCAAACTTGAAGAAGATTCATAAAGAGAAGAGCTTTACCAATACACTACCAGGTCCAAGATACTTGTCATATTCTTGGATCATGTCTACAACATCTGGGCGCCAACCTAGCAAAAGTATGCATTCTTTTGGTCCTATAGTCTTGTCTAAAGGCTGCATGCAATGTAACAATTAGCTACCTTGCTTACTGACTTGTTGAAAATAAAAACAAATCACTTAGGCCCCGTTTGATAATTATGGTTATTGGTTTTTGAAAATTTAGCTTATAAAGGTTTTCTTAACTTTGTTATCTATTTTCTGAAAATGGTTTCAAAATCTAAACAAAGTCTTGAAAACTATAAAAAGTAGTTTTGAAAAACTTTTTTTTGTTTCTGAAATTTGGCTAAGAATATAAAAGTTTCATTGTGATAGGTGAAAACCCAGTAAGGAAATTGTAAGGAAAGAAGCACAATTTTAAAAAATAGAAAACTAAAAGTAAAATTATTATCAAACTAGAGCTTCAATATTACCTTGAAAGAGGGTTTTGTTGGATGTTTGATCATATTCTCGAATTCCTTTCTATATATTTCTAGAGATTGACGTAAACCTACATTACTATTTTTAATACTTTCCAGCTTTTTAATGGTATTACTTCCTTCCTTAGTAACATTTGAATGACCACCTCCTCCCTTATGTCCTCCAAGGAGAGGTGCAATGAACAGCACCTACATCAAAAGATACACAAATTCACTTAGAAAATCTGTTATACCAAGGTGTTTCTTTTCTATAAAAAAAGAAAAAAAAAAAAAAGAGATATGAATCTATTATTTATACCTTGTCATTTTGCTGCAGAATCTCATCATCATTTGGATGAAAGTGTATCTTCCCATTTCTATAGATACCACAAATAACTGCCTGTAGAAAAGAAATATCCATTCAAAAAAACTGAAAGGGAATTAGGAGGAAAATTTTATTTGATGGATAAGTACCTCATGAAATCCTTGGCGAAGTTCTTTATAATTTAGACCAACAAAATTAGGGGAGCTGAATAGATTAAATACGTTTTCTGCAATTTCACAGCATTACAAATTTGAGTAAACTGAAAACCACATTCTATGCAATTGGGAGAACTATAAATGTGTTGCATACTTCGATAGTTCAACAAGTGTCTGTAAATTTTGATGAGCTCCTTTTGCCGAGAACACTGGACAAATAATTTAGAGGCAACATTCTCCACCGGTTCTACTTTCAGTCCTGTGACCGACTTTAAGAGGTCACAGGTATTGGAACTAGAAACCTGAATTCATTGAGAAAAGTTTCAAATGCAGCCATTCAAAGTTGTCATTTGACAAGACTGACAACTTGTTATTTATTGGTACCGTACCTCAACAATAGTTGGGATGGACTCCATATTTGCAATGGGTTGAAGGGCAAGAACAGAGAGAAATGCATCTGTATCAACTTCATACCTAATAAATTTGTGTCCAATATGCTTCAGTTAATCCATATTTCCATTCCAAGATTGGTTTCTCCTATTTGAAACGAAAATAAGTAATCCTACATCCTATAGCAGTCAATGTCTCAGTTTCAACAACATTTTAGCTAGCTGAATGAGTGTCGAAAGCACTCTTTAGCAGGACCCAACGTCACTATAAAATATCCGAGACCGCATTAATCTTCAATTGGTTGCAAAAATAGACTTTCTTTTAAACGCATCCAGGATAACTATTCTATAAGGGTTTCTTAAAAGTTATAACAACGACTGCTTCCTTTATCACCACAATTGTAAAAGACCAAGGATAATCCATCTCAATATCCAATGAAGGACTGTTGAGGAACAAAGAGAAGTTATCAGCTTTGTCTATCACATAAAAGAAAATAGGAACCATGGAAATACTGGAAGAAATTAAAATGTTAAAGCACCGAGAAATGAATCCTCCTACCCATTTAAAAGGACAAGTTTACTCTTTTACGCTTTGGAAATGCTAAAATACGTGTCTTTTATCTCTTTCAAAACAAGGTCCATTGTATGAACTTTGACTTCCCTGAAGGGAGTAGTATGATAGGAAAATGTTATCGGGATATTAAGGGTGTTGTTAGCAATCAGCTAAGGAGTTTGTTAGGAATGTTTGGTAACAAGTAGAGTGGGCTAGAAAGGATGAAGGTAGGCAATCGTGTAGTTGGAATACGGCTTGAAATTTGATAGGACCGACAATTTAATTGTCAAAAGCAATTTCCTATTTGTGATTACAATTTAAGAAAACCATAGTCATCCTTGCTTGATAATATTAGTAATCCTGACCAACATTTCATACGTATTGCAGCAACTTTGAAGCCTAGTACTAAAATTCAGTGACATTATTACAGAAATCGTTACTTTGATAAACAAAGGCAGGTTCTAAATGGTGAGAAAGAAAAGGATAGTACGAAGGCAAGAAAACTCGATCAACGAAACAACAGTAAACGAAAAACAAAGAATATACTTGTAACTGAAATTTTTCTTACCGGTCTCCTTTTGTTGGTAGTATAATTACTGCTCGGGCCATACTGGCAGCAGCTCTTTCAAATGATTTTGTTAAGCTGAGGCTACAACTGTGGAACCACAAACTCAATGGAATTAGATAAGACCAAGGACAATTCAGGCCAATAGAGAAATAAACTTGTAACTTTTCACTTCCTTTGGGAAAGGATATCCTCATATGAGGGAACTCCAATTACAGATCTGAACGAGAGATCAGATATTTTATGTCTAATTTATGGTTAAGAAAGAAAACAACTTCATTTCCCTTACCTCTTGGTAAGAACATCAATGTGGTAAAGATCTTTGGCAAGATTATCAGCTAACTTGTCCATTTGTTTCCTTGGAAGATCAGACATGAGAAGAATTCTCTGTCTCCTAAAAACACAGACCAAAAAGAAACTGTTTGTACTTTCCAACACACATAATACATGATATTGGCACAAAATCTACGACAGGAGGAGCAACAGTTACCTAGCAGACGCAGTACCTAAGCGGACAGAAAATTCGTGGTACTTATTTAGCTGCTTCAGTATAAAAGCCAAATGACTATTGACACCACAAATGATGATGTGATCAGACTCTAGAACTTGAACTTGTGCACCTTCCCTCAGCTTTTGCATGTTATGCTGTCCAAACGAGCGCAAGTAATCAGCTTCAGCAAACATTTATCTTTTCTTATGTTTTGATATCACCAAGCTTACCCTAAACTGTTCTGTCATTGTGCTGAGTAGACGTGAGTAAAATAATATGCCCCATATTGCAAGAATGAACCCTATAACACGTTCAACTCGTGTCCTTTGCTGTTAGATAAAATACAGAGATATTTCTAAGTCAAATGAATAGTTCTTAGATACCTCAAATGATTTTAAGAAAACAGTTGAAGTTCAAAGATCTTATAATGAAAATGTATGTGGCATACTTTCAAGTGAGTGGATGAGGAACATAGACATGCCCATGCTTCCCATAAGCAGTCCTCCAGAGACTGAGTGCTACCTCTGTTCAACACACTCCCAGATTGGCAAACAAGAATGTGCATCGCATGTAGGAAGGAACAATGAACTAACAGAAAATAATCAATCTAACAATTGATTGCAAGAATTGACTGCAAGTTTTAGTAATAAAACGGACAGAAATTAAAATGTAAAACTAGACTGAGAAACAAGACAAAGAAATTGTTAGCCAATCATATTTATTTTTTAAAATTAAATTTTAAAAAAATGATAACAAAACAGAATATTTAACCCTAGAAAATAAAAAAAAAAACCCTCTGATTCCCTTAGAACAATCCACTTCTATTTGAACACAGGTAAAAAAAACAAAAATATTTCTTTTTTTTTTTTCAAGACTTACATTGGAAGGGTTAAATATGATATAGATCGGATCTTACTATTTACAGTATAAATTCTATTTGAAGCTAAAGTTTAGTACTAGGCCAAAAAGGAAGAAAAGTAGAGTACCTGAGCTTGAAGAACAGAAAACCACCCATCAAAATAAATGAGATGCATGCCACAAGGAGCACCACTAAGAACCTTTAAATTGAACATTAAAAAAACAAAAGAAAAAATCAAATAATATTTCAATCTTAATAGAACATGAATTTCTTCTGGGAAAAAAAAAATGAAAAAAAGAAAGAGTGGTGCAGTAGATTCATAAAATACATGGTTCTTGCAGTTTCTCTATTTCTTTTATCACATTTGCAGTCTATTACAGCATCAGTTTAGATGAGTGGCAATCATTCCATACAATATGAACCATGGCAACAAGTATGCACCTCACTTACGTGCCAACATTTCTTTCGAGTTGGATATTGAATAGGTATATCAGTCGTGCGAAACTCAATTTGATTTCATGAAATGCAGGGAAGTATACATCCAACTGAAGGGGTGTCGGTTTATTCAAGGTATTGGATACACTTGCAAATGGCAAGCTAAACTCCCCAACATTTTGAACGAGACAGGGAAATATCTCTTGGACAGTTTTGCCTATAGATTTAGCAGAGGTTAGTGTCAAGCTGAAAAGGCAGCATCCAAATATAACTTTGACCGCAACTTTAGCTTGGGTACCCTGATACAATTCCAGTGCATCATTATTAGCAATCAACCAATTCCGTGAACTACAAGCATGGGTTATATAATGAGCAAGCTCTCGATAAAATAAGAGAAAAAGGGGGGGACATATAGTTTATCCATTCGGCAGGCAACAATAATCCAAATCAGATTTTCAGTCTATCATCGAACACTCACCTGAGAAAATATATTCGGATTAACTCTATCTACACTGGCATTCTGGTCATTTAAACTGCTTGTACACGTTATAGTATGTACCCCACCAAGTTTCCTATGCGAACAGGCTTCCCGTGTCCCTGCCATCAAATCACCATCATCAGGAAAGTAAAAGTGCGACGGATCTGCCGTGTTCAATGCCTAAGAAGTAGAACAAGGGATCAATGCTGCTTGACAAATTGATTCCAAAGACATCTATGTAATACATAGAAAGAAATTATGAAAAGGCGAAATCACGATTTCAATTACACTGAAAATGGAAAATAAACCAAATTGTCTTGAAAACTCAAATGTACAAGTCTAAAATAGATAATTGATAGTAATTTCCTAACAGACTCACCACCGGCAATGAGAGGGCGTGCATTGAAATTCGAATGGTCAATCCGCCAACGTGGACATGTCAATGTTCTCCTAGAAAAAGCGTTGAAACAGTTGAAACAAATCTAACTAAGCAATAAATTAGAAAGAATAAGTCGGACAATATTTTTTACAGACAGAAAATCTTATAAACTCGTAGCAGAACAGAACTAGCCGAGATTAAATGATTATAAACGCGGCAGAGCTTCAAATCCGCAACAAATTTCAATCCGCAATAAATTGGTCAACTACTTGACAACAGCGGTTCAACACGCGCGAAAATCTCAGCGATTAAGTCGAATACCATTTATTGAAGTCAAAGATAGCTCGTACTAAAGAAAAATGGATAGAACAAGAGAATTGAAGATGGATATGAAGGAAATACCTGGAAGTCGAAAACGGAATACTCCGATAGAGTCCACGAGGTGGCGACGGCGGAAGGCGCAAGTGCGAGCAGCGATGTTGCAGAAGCATTTGGCTCTTGCGCGATGCTCCGTAATGGCAGCAGGTACGGTGGTGGAAGGAGGCTGTGTAATGGCGGCAATGGCGGAATTGAAGAGAGTAGAAGACGGATGACTAGAGAACGCCCGGTGAATTCCATATTATATTATTTGCAGACGGAAATTTGATCACCGCTGTCCCGTACATTTTTCTTTTCTTTAATCGAATAAAATTTATTCCTCTAAAAGAAATAAATGGGCAAAATACTATTTGGTAATATTTACGTCATTAATATGAATTTTATTTTATATTAATTTTCTACTTTAATAAATTTTAAAATTAATCATTCAAAATCAATTTTAACCCTAATTTTTAAATAATAAAAAAAAAAGTTGCATCATTTTATTTTAATCTAGAAGCTGAATTTTAAATATTTGTTTTTTTTTAATAAAATCTTAAAATTTGTTCCCTCGTGCCCTCTGACGCACGTGAGAGTTTGCTACACTTTGTCCAAATTCACCGACAGCTCGCACGTGCCAGCAAGGAATCCAAACTGTCATGCGCTGTATAATATTAATATATTTTTTTTTTTATCAAATTCAGTTAAATAATAATAATAATAATAATAATTTATATGCAATTATTGCAAGGGCTTGATATGAAAATTATAAACATGAAGCTTTTAAATTATTCTATGAACAATATGCTCCTTAGAAACTCGAGTGACTACTTGGCTACCTAGCTGTTAAGATAGGTGCTGATAGAGTATCATCGGAGAAGTCGAACACGGCGTCGTCGCTCTTGCTCAACGCATAAACCACCTCGACCATGCTCGGCCTCTTCGTCGGGTCCTTTTGCAGGCAACTAACAGCCACATTCATTACATCCATCACGCTCTCCATCGGGCACGATTGCTCGAAAAGAGCTTCATCAATCCAATTCTTCACCCTCTCTAACTTCTCCTTCTCCTTCTCTTTCTCTTCCGAAAACCCACTCGCTCGCATCCATAGAACTTTTCCGTCCTCGTCAATAGCCTCCTTACCAGAGACGAGCTCGAGCAAAACAACCCCAAATGCAAAGATGTCCATCTTTGTCGACACGACTCCATCCGCTATGTATTCGGGTGCTATATAGCCTTGAGTTCCAACAATGTGCATGGTAATAGCATTGCACCCTGACTTGGCAAGTCCAAAGTTGGCTATCTTAGCCCTCATGCTTGCATCCAACAAAATGTTGCTACTTTTGATGTCTTTGTGGACAACTCGTGGCCTCGTGTGCTCGTGAACATAGAGTAGTCCGTTAGCAACATCAATCGCAATCCTCAATCTCGTTCTCCAGTTCAATTTTCGCTTTTGGCTTCCGTGTAGCCATGAATGTAGAGAACCGTTCTCTACATATTCATAAATTAAGTAGCAGGTTGCATCATCAGGGTCAACACAAAAGCCTTCAAGCTTCACTAGATTACCATGATTCACCTTAAAATCAAATCAAACATATGTAATATTAGTCTATAACCAGAACTTTCAACCTCGAGAAAAGGAAGTGAAAAAATGAAAGCACTCAAGGCTATTTTCGTCTTTTCCATTGTCCCATTCCGTACCGACTTTCAATATTTTAATGAAAGCCATCGTCTCATTTTTCAAATAGCTTTTTGAAAATTATTTTTAAAAAAACTTTTGAAATAATCGGTTTGAAAAACGTTCCTATGGTTCTTCCTTTTACTTAATATCACGCAAATTTTCAAAATTAATATAAAAAACTTGAAAATAATTATCTGCATTTCATCCATAAATTTTTTTTATTTTTTAATAATAATTCAATTATGGACTATGTAAATTCCCATTTTAACCCTCAACTTATACACTTTTCAAACCATGAGTTAATTCATATACAAGTGGTTTATCTTAATAATAATAAATAAATAAATAACCCCACTAGCCTCCAAATTTTCATTAAAGAAATTTAATGCAAATCATAAATTTGAGTTATAATATCAAAAATAATATTCGGAAATTGTAAATATATTAAAGAAAAAAAAAATGTTACCTTCTGCAAGATCTTGAGCTGTTCATAGGCGTTCCACTTCATCTTCTTGATAGCATACTCAACTCCATTGATACTCCCTTTGTAAACCGATCCTTGAATCAAGCTCCTCTCATGAAACCCATTTGTTGCTTCATTCAGCTCCTCGATCTTGAACACACTGTATTTATCCAAACAATCCGACACATCCGCCATTAAATCCATCTCCATTTCTTTCCCCTTTCCCTTCCAAATCCCCACTTCCTGCAATTTCTGCCTCTCAATTCCCTCCTTCATTTCCCTCTCACTTCTCCGCCGCTTTCCCACTCCACACACCCACAAACCCACCATTAAAATCAGTAAAAACCCCGCAATCCCCATCCCAATCGCCAGCCCTGTTACTGCCCTGTTTTTTCCCTCTCTTACCGGAGCCGGCTGCTGCTCTGGCGGCGGTGGAAGAATAATGGGTTGCGTCAAATTCGGGAGACGACTTACCGGGATGAAGATTGTGTCGAACGCCTTCGGATTGGGGCGGTTCGCGGCGGTGATTTCCGATGTTGGGACTCCGAACCTTGAAGCGATGGAAAACAGAGTGTCCTGTGGGTGGATAACGTAAGAGACCATGAAATTGACGCGGTTTTGGAATTGGGTGGAGTTAGGGCACTTGCAGAAGATGGGGAAAACGACGTCGGCGCCGATGGAGAGATTGGTGGGGACTAAAGTGGGGTTAACGACTTCGACGGATTGAAACGTGGTGAGATTCTGGAACTTGGAGGTGGAGACGAGCCAGAAGCTGTCGCCGGAGTTGATTTTGTAGGAGAGATTGGCGTAGGAGATGCTGACAGAGGCGTTGACGGAGTTGCAGGAGCAGGTGATGGGGATGAAGAGGGGCTGGCCGGAGACGAGGGGGAAGGTAGCGTTGGAGTCGGAGATGTTACTGGGTCGAGAAATCTCGAGGCGGCTGACCCAGAAGAGGTCAGCGATAGTGGCTAAGTCGAGGAAATCGGGGGCGGTGGCTCGGTAGAAGACGTAGGCCTGGCATGGGGCGGTGGTCTGGTTGGCGGTGCAGGAGTAGCCATCGGCGTCGGGGGATTGGGCGGAGGAGGGAGGGAAGGGGAAGATGAAGAAGATGAAGAGCAGAAGAGAGCAGCCATGGCGGATTTGGGGTTCCATTGGTTATGATATTATTTTCTGTTTTTTTATATTTTATAATCTTCCATTTATAGCGACAACTGAACAGTCAGTGGGAGAGAAAAGGAAAACAAACAGACACGGAAGAAAAGAAGAATAGTCAAAGTCCTAGTCAACCATTCAAACGGCTGATTTTGGACCATTCTGACAGTATTGCCCCTCTAAAAATAAAAAAATTGAAATAACAGGTGGAAAATAATAATATTATATTTTATTTAAAATAACTTTTGTTTTTAATAATTGACACAGAATGGAAGAAATATAAATTCCGGAAAACATTTAAAATATGAAATAAAACTTTTGAGAACAGGTATTAAAAATATATTTTAAACTGAAATTGTAATCCATATATTTTTTTAATTAATCTTATATTTAGTAAAATTAAATTATATATTTTATATAAATCTAATCTTATATATAGTAAATTTATAAAATTTTAAATTTTCAAGTAAGTCAATGAATTCACAAATAAATAAACATTTTTTAAAATAAGAAACTTATTAAATAATAAAGGTTGTTAAAGTTGAAAATATATTAATGAATTAATTTTAGTTTGAGTTAAACTAACATAAGTATGCATTCATTCATTTTTTTTTAATAGTACTTCTAATTAATTATATAATCAAACCAATTATTTTATTATTAGTTAATTAATTTGTAACTACTTTGAATTAAGACATCAATTAAAATTAATTAATAGTTTCATAGAATAAATACAAACTTGATGTATTCCCAACAATTAAATAGAGGAATATTTTATTATGAGACATATTATTCTTGAGCATATTCTATTTCTAACATGTGTGAAACCTTAAATAAAATCGGCCTTACGAATACAAGTATTAAAAATCTAGTATGTATTAGTGAACTAATTGGTTCAATTCATTTTCTAAAAACTAACTTATTGGTTTTGTCTTCGTACCTAAACAACTCTTAGAACTCTCTATATATAGCTAGCTGATTTCAAATGGCAGCTACGGCTGAGGGAGGGAGATAGAGATGAACCTCAAAAACAACACAGGGTCACGTAGAAGTACCATCAAGACAAAGAAAGAGAAGGGTCGGTCGAAAACGTCAACCACGACAGTTTCAAGAAGGAGAGAGAGTTCTGATCAAGTTGAGATCAGATTGTTAGACGAACACGACTCTTCACAATGATATGATATTGTCCACTTTGAGCATAAGCTCTCATGGCTTTGCTTTGGGCTTCCCCAAAAGGCCTCATCCTAATGAAGTTAGTATTCCTCACTTATAAAGCCATGATCATTCCCTAAATTAGGGGATGTGGGATTTCCATCATCCAACACCTCCCCTCGAACAAAGTGCGCCTCCCCTTAATCGAGGCTCGACTCCTTTGGAGTCTTAGTCATTTTTTACTACCTTCGAGGAGGGGCTTGGCTCCTTTTCTTTAGGAGTTCTTTGTTCGATATTTGAGGATTTACCAATCTATTGGCACGACTAAGTTTAGGGCATGGCTCTGATACCAAGTTAGACGAACACGACTCTCCACAATTGTATGATATTGTCCACTTTGAGCATAAGCTCTCATGGCTTTGCTTTGGGCTTCCCCAAAAGGCCTCATCCTAATGAAGTTAGTATTCCTCACTTACAAAGCCATGATCATTCCCTAAATTAGGGGATGTGGGATTTCCATCATCCAACACAGATCAACTCCGAGATCAAAACAGCGAGTCGAAGACTAATGAGAAAATACTATGGACTAGTCAAAATTATTCAGAAGATTGGAAAGATATCGTATAGGATCCATTTGCTCCCACGGATGCGCACTAGCCGTGTTGTCGCGTCAGTAACATGAAAATATATATATATATGAAAGCCCATGTCTAATACCCTTTTAAGCCCAATATTTTTTTTTTGTTTATTTCAGCCCAATTCCTAGACAAGCCTGCAAAATAGAGCAATGTTTGAACTTGTGGATGTAATGTAATTAAATTTGCAGGATGATTTCTAACCTTAAGAAATTTGAAACTCTGGTAGGGACATTTTTATGCTTTATTTTTTGTTCATATTTTCCTGTATCATCAAGTTCTCCTGAACATGAAAGAAATGAGTGAGATTCAGATCAATGAACTATAAACTATCAGAACCACAAAACTAGCAGAGTTCTTTATCTCCATAGAGATTTACTTTAATACTTCAAATGAAAACATTATTCATTCACAGCTGCACAGAACAAGAGAAATTTTCTTGCTATACGGTTGATAATAAGTTCATGTCATAATTACAATTTACATCCAATATATATATCTTTTCATAAAAATTTGGATAAGGAGTTCTCACTTGCATCACATTACTGAGGAGCAGTCGGCAATCATCTCTTTGTTATATCATCATTCTTTACAGTGAAATCCCACAAGTCTCCATACTTCTCATTGAACTCCCAGATGTCCATGGTGTTGTAATCTGATATCAACTTGTCACGAGCCCCGCGCTCCATGTTATATATTTGAGGTTCAAAGTTGTGTGGTTGGTCTGGTTTGTCCATTTCAATTATGCAGAATACTATTGTAAACACAGCTGCTCCAATGTATATATACTCCCCCTGAAATACAGTCCCCATTAAGAACATAGCGTCCCCAAAAGTAGGGAAGAAAGATATCGATGGTGTTCGAAGATCTAATTCGAAATTACCGGAACATTGAAGTACATTGCAGCGGCAACTACTGGTAAGAAGAGCCACGAGATGAAGCCTGCCAAATATGTCAAATGTGAAGATACGAACCGAGTGTTGAAGTCAGAGGATTGAGTTGTTTAAGAGTGACAATGGTTTACCCTGAAAGCCTGTTGGTGGTCCAACTGCAGCAATATCATCTGCAATGGCTCCCCAGAATGTTCCTGAGAAGAACTTGCCAGTGAAAAGTAATCAGTACCAGAAGTTACTACCCAAATGATTTTGAAAGGGAAGGAATGGTCGATGATCGTTGGGAAAGGAGTTCCACGTCTACTAATTAAAGGGTTGATGTTTATAAGTAAGGAATATATCTTCATTGGTATGACTTCTTTTGGGGAAACCAAAAGCAGAGCCATGAGAGCTTATGCTCAAAGTGGACAATGATATCGTGACGTGCGTAATTCCTAACAAGGAGTATTCATAGTACGAAAACTAGGTGGTTACTACTTCAAAGAACAATCGAATAATCGATACTGCTTATAGAGGTACAAAATCTATAGCATAGCTACCGTCGACTTCTCAATTAGACCGGCTGAAAGTGAGTTCGGGATAACTTTTGAAGTTAGTGCAGATCAAAACATTAGTTCTTCCTTGGTTTGAAGTGTTTTTAAAATTTTTAGAATCTTTTTCTAGCCATATAACCAAACATCGTGAGAAACTTTGAAGTGTTTTAATGGTGGATTAAAACACTTTTCACTATGCTAAAGGTGATTTGTTATACATTATGAGTGAGATTGATGATAAACAGTTTCATCTTGGCCAAATTATGATGGCAGTGAGAGATGGGAAATCTTGATCCCATAACTCACGAAATTGATCTTTAAAGACTCGCGGGAAAGCTAAATTCCAAGCTTGGGATTCTAATTCAGAACCTACAATTACAATTACATTTCTGTTTTTTCTTAACCACATTTTCATATAAACTGGAATTCAGACAACCAATTCACAGAGCCAAGGGCTCCAAAAATCAAGAACCACCACCAAATATTGAATCCAGATTCCACCCAGCCTAAACAGAAGACTTCATCCAAAACAGAAACTAGTTCATCTAGACTCTAACACTCAAATTTCAAAGATATGTTAATGAACGAACCTTTTTTCTCGCCCTCAAAGTAAGTGTGGTGCCCATCGTACACTCCATACTCAAAATCTTCCTGAAACGAAACACAAAATTGTTAAAAAATCAGCAACATAAAAGAGGCACAATGACAGGACAGGAGAGCGATTCATACAGCGCTGACACTGTTAGTCTCCCAACGATCTACTGGATCTTCGTTTAAGTCGGGTTCAATCTCGGACAATCCAGCCGCATTGAGACGCCGTAAGCGGCTTCCCCTCGCCGATTTTCCGAGCAACTTGGCGGCGGAGATTCCATTGATTCCTGGAATACTCCGATTCGAGAATGCTGTAGCGCGAATTCCAGAAGATTTGAAGATGATTTTGGGGAGTGGATTGAAAGAAAGAACGGGGAGGGAAGAACAGAGCGCCATTTTCGGGCTTATCTTTACTTTCTGGGCCTTAAATCCCCGCCTTTTGTTCCAACGATCAACTCCAATAACGTAACTTCCAATCCTACGTGGCAGAATAACCAATGAAACCTCGCCACGTAGACCAAAGTCTGCAGCTTACCCATGTGGCAATTACACGTAGGTTGCACGTAAGATGGTCAACTTCCTCTATAGGTTGCACGTAAGCCTACATCCACTTATATAAACACAAACCACACAGCCTCACCATTTTAAAACGCATATATTAACCGAGAGGTTTAGCACCTTTGTTAATGCAACTTATTGTTAATTTGAATTAGTCAAAATATTCGTAATCAATTAATATTTGGTGAATATATTAATTATGAAATATATCTTAAATATTTAATTAGTAATATATTTTATTTTATTCTCAAGATTTAGTTAGTTTATATTTTCGTTATAGGTATTAGTCGGTAGCTTGTATCCTATGCTATGAATATCAATGAAGATTAAACCTTCGATCCCAATTATATTTCCTGTTCTTAACTCTGTATTGTTTCGTTTGAATAATAATATTTTCAGATCTATTCACACTCTTGAATGGTAAAAAAAACTTTAACAAAAAATACTATTTCGCGGCACTTAATAAGAGATCAGAAATCAACATACTCTGAACTGATCGAACAAAAACGTGAATTTTAAAATTTTTTAAATTCCAGAATATGTTTAAAAAAAAATTCAAAATCATGGAATTAGAACTTCACACAATTCTAGAAGCTAACAAAAGAGTGCAAGGAAAGACTCGTAATTATAAGACTATTTCATTTAAGATAATTTACAACATCATAAATGATAATTAAATTTTTTCAATTTCTAGAATAAATATTAATAATAATTGTTAAATAAATTCAGAAATATAAAATTTAAAATTAAACTAACATTTAACTAGTTAAAATTATTTTAATATAAGGTAATAAAATTGTTAAACGCAATGATATTATAAAAATTAAATGTTTAATAGCATTATAATTAATAAAGCTTGTACGAAATATCCATCGAAAATTGGATGTTTAGTTGGAAAAGTAAAAGAAAAGAACAATAAATTGGTGGGTTATTAGTTGGGGGAGTTTTCGAGGGAATTAATAATTGGGAAGAAAATTAAATGCTTTAGTTTTGGACACGCAAATATGTTATAGGATAAGTCTACGTGTTGAAGAAGTCAAACCCAGCAACCTTTGCGCCTTATGGGATTCCATACCTGCTCCGCCTCCTCTTTCACACGCCAACTTTGACCATTTGGTCCCTTTGACTTAGTTAGGTTCATATTAATGTAATAAAAATAACTATAAGATTCGGATCAATCGTCCACGGTAAGTAAACTATATGGACACTCGAAAATAACTACGAACTAGCTAGTGACGTACACGAACTGGGTTGGAAAAATCTTTTCGACTAACTAAAAATTCCAGTTGAGTTAGTGACCCCAACAACCTGAATAGAGTTCACAACTTAATCCTCTATTTTCAGGTTGAGTTGTGAATTATCTTAAATGTCATAAAATTTAAAGTAAATTAGGGTATCGTATGATTAAGTTATGACTCTATTTCTTGGTATTGACTTAACCAAAAAATGTTAACAACCATTGATTTTATTTAAATAATACACGTTTTTTTATAAAAAAACACCTATTTTTAGATATTCTAGAATAATTAATTTCATTTAGAAGAAATGTCATAAACAATATACGTTTTTTCCCTTTTTATATAACTATTAATTCCAACATAATTAAAAAAAAATATATATATATATATTACAAGGCATAAATGGATTGGATTAAAAAAAAAAATTATACCCCTTCAAAATTTCGGATGAGTTAAGTTGTGATCACAGTAAAATGAACTGAATTCACAATCCAATTAATGTTATAGAGTTCAAATTCAAGTACGGTAGGTTGTGTTGAACTCTATTTTCGAGTTGGTCGGGTTGATCGGACCACAAAAATGTCAACTAACAAACCGAACCAAATTTTTTATTTTAAAAGAATTCAACTCAATCTAACTGGGAAAATAATATGATCCATTTAAGTTGCACATTTTTAACTGGTTGAATTATCGAGTCATATATACACCTCTCCTATTAATTAAATAAAGTGGGACCAACGAGGCAGTGGGTACGACATTCCAATTAAAATGAGGGAACATAGAAGGATAGCTTCAATTAAAATAAAAAGTTGGAACTCAATTCAATTCCATTCAATTCAGTCCCAACCAAATCACTGTAAAATTATTCATATTATGAAATATATTTTCCTGTGTATATAAAAAATGTTTTCGAACATAATTTCAAACTTATAAATACTCTTAAAACGAACATTTTGGTTTGTTCGTGCAAATTTTGTTTCATTGCCACAAAAGTTGTTATAGGAAGTCATTTCTCTCGACACTATAACCTACCACTAGGAGATGTCGACTTCTCCTGACATTATATTATATGTATCAGATAGAAATCATTATAATGTTACGTCGGTGGAGATGTCGATACATTATTTATTTGTCTCAACCCCTTGTGACGTCTTGTAGTGGATAACTTTTGAATAGCAACATCTTTGATATGGATTAAGTAGTTGTATTAAAATTTATACCTATTTAAATACGATCTAAAATAAGAGTAGCTTATAGGTGGCCCCTGAATGTAAATGTCCGTAACTAAGACAAGTGGTAGAGTTGCCTATAGACAAAGAACTCATGCTGGTAGGTGTCGAATTAATTAGCCTCGAAAATGGCTATGAAAAAGCTCTTGGGCTATCGAGGAGCTTAATTCGAGCTACTTCGCTATTGATTTTCTTTTTAAATTCATATTTATTTTTGGAATGTACCATTAAAAAAGGTTCTCTAATATTTTATAATATGGATTGAAATTTTGATGACGTGTTTGAATGGATAAAAGAATATATTTTGATAATGAAAAATAAATTTAGTGGAAGAAAAAAAGTAAATAAAATAGAAAATTGAAATTACTTGAGAAATGAACAAATTAAATCTCGTGGGTTTGGCAACCCACTTGTACACCTCAATTCTCATGGTCAACGCGTAGTTTACCCGCGTACGGAACTGTATTGTCCATTAGTTTCTCGCCACGTCAGCTATATTATCCGACAAATTACGCACTTCATAGTAGCTCACCCAAAATTATCGGTTCAATATAAATTATAATTAATCACCGCAAAATAATTTGAAAATTACGGTTTACTCTTACATTTCACATCATTATTATTATTATTAATTATTAGTCTAAATTAATAAAAATATTTTATTTTAAAAAATTTCAAAAGTTTTAATAATATTCTTAAATTAAAAAAATTAAAATACAAATTTTTTATTTTGTTTCAAAAGTACCCTTAAAAATTTAGTTTAAAAACGCTCTTAACCTTTTATTTACTTTTTTTAATTTTAATTAATATCCTTCTAATTCTTTTAAAAATTAAAAAATACCTTTAATTTTTTTAAAATAAAAAAAATGGTTGGTAAAAGTAACATTAATTCCGTTAAATGGTCCATTTTTGAAACATGGGTACGAATCGGGGAGGTTTTTTTAAAAAAATTTAAAAATATTAATAAAATTTTGTAAAGTTAGAGTATTTTTGAAACTTAATTAAAAATGAAAATATATAATTGAAAGAATATTTTATTAATAATAATAATTTAAGGTTAATATTATGAATATTATTAATATTATTTTATTGGACAGTGTTTTCCGGGTTGGCAAATTGAATGCCCCGCCTGGTTCACAATTAAAAGTTCGTTGGGGTAGTTGCATCCTCCCTCTCCCTTCTTCCCTCTCCCTTCACACTTCCCATCCCCTGCTTTTTAAATCCCCCTTTCCCCTTCCCCTTCTTCCCCCAACAATCCCTTCACTTCCTCTGTTTCTTCTTCCTCCTCCCTCAACAATGGCCGACCTCCCCAACTTCCTCTCCTCCGTCCGCCTCAAGTACGTCAAGCTCGGCTATCACTACCTCATCTCCAACGCCATGTACCTCCTCCTCCTCCCTCTCCTCGCCGCCGCCTCCGCCCATCTCTCCACCTTCCAATTCCACCACTTCCTCCACCTCTGGAACCAATTGAAATTCAACCTCCTCTCTGTTACACTCTGTTCTTCCCTCATCGTTTTCTTCTCTACCCTTTATGTAATGACCCGACCCAGAAAGATTTATCTCATGAATTTCTCCTGCTATAAGCCGGAGACGGCTAGAATGTGCGACAGAGCTGCGTTTCTTGGCAAATCCGAGATGACTGGCAGCTTTACAGACGATAATTTGGCGTTTCAGAAGAAGATTCTTGAGAGGTCTGGTTTGGGAGAGAAGACTTACTTGCCCGAGGCGGTTATGAGAGTCCCGCCTAATCCGTGTATGGCGGAGGCCAGAAAAGAGGCGGAGGCTGTCATGTTTGGCGCCATTGATGAGCTTTTGGGGAAGACGGGTGTTAAGGCTAAGGACATTGGGATTTTGGTGGTTAATTGCAGCTTGTTTAATCCCACGCCCTCCTTGTCGGCTATGATTGTGAATCATTATAAGCTTAGAGGCAATGTTTTGAGCTATAATCTTGGTGGGATGGGTTGCAGTGCTGGGCTTATCTCCATTGATCTTGCTAAACAGCTCTTGCAAGTTCACCCAAATTCATACGCCTTAGTGGTTAGCATGGAGAACATCACGCTTAATTGGTACTTTGGAAACGACCGATCAATGCTCGTTTCGAATTGCCTCTTCCGTATGGGCGGCGCCGCTATCCTCCTCTCAAACCGCCCTTCAGACCGCCGTCACTCCAAGTACCAACTCATCCACACCGTCCGAACCCACAAAGGCTCCGATGACAAATGCTATAACTGCGTCTTCCAACAAGAAGACGACACTGGCCGTGTCGGCGTCCGCCTCTCCAAAGACCTAATGGCGGTTGCCGGAGAAGCCCTGAAGACCAACATCACTACTCTTGGTCCACTCGTCCTCCCAATGTCGGAGCAGCTTCTCTTCTTTGCGACTCTCGTCGCTAAAAAG